TACTGTTCGCTTGACTCAATTATCTCTATTTTCAATCTATCTGTATATCTATCTATCTCTTCAATTGCATTGGTTTTTCTCGCCAGGATTATATACTAAAAAAGAGGGTGCCTCGAACAAACTAGAGTTGCCAGGAAAATTCATGATCCTTCAAGAAACTCCAGCACGCATGCTCCCAGCGTCATGTGACTTCCAATGTCATAACATTACCCTTTTTTCATTCTAGAATGACCCCAAATTGTATCAGGAAACAACATTTGTTTATCCTAAATAGCTTAAAGTTCACAAGAGTGTAGATCTGTTTCTAGTTAAAATTTTTTTTGTTGTCCTTTGAACTGCATCCAACTAATAATCCCACCACTCAGGGAACATGTAGCTTCTCTTACCCTATCGAACTATATAACACGAGATACTCGTGAGCATACCTCGAGAAAAGTTGTTTTTTCTTTATCTCACCTAATCTAACCAAATACGCTACCAAATTTTACATATTATTTACTTTTATAATAATAAACAACGAATACAAATGAAAAACAGGAAGCACAGAACTTACCTGGGTCATTTTTTTTTTTTTTGCTGTGAACTTTCAATGAAACTTAACCCTACTTTAGTGGTACTACTACCCTAAATAATTTTTATTTAATTAAATAATGCACCTAAGAACACAGAAGAATAAAATGTAAATAGCAAACAATGTCCTATAACTATGATAATTTTTCTGGCTTTCTAACTATGTAATAAGAGCTGTTAAAAATTTAGGTAAGCTTATCAATGTATTTCTTGTGGGAATAAAGTTTACACTGGAAGAGAAATAAACAATTTTCTATACAGAAAACAATATAATATAATATATCATTTGATGAATTAAAACTTTAGCTTCCTATTGGTTATAAATAATAGAGTATTAAACATCAGAGAGAACTACTGGCAATTTGTGAAAGATAGGATGTGACAAGTGGGCCTGATTTTCTAGTTTATGGTTCCACAAATAAATAACACTAAAGGCTATAAAAATTAAGCTTTGCCTGAGTATTAACTGCATTATAATGAGTCACTTGCTAAATTATATATTTCCCAGATGGGTGGTAAACAAATTAGAGGGGAGACCTATAGAGCAAATGTCACAATTCTCATACTAGGGAAGATTGTGGATTTTTTAAATATTTCCTCATACAATTAAAACATATATAATATTAAAAGATTATAAAATATGATTTATTAACTATGTTTTGGTTCCAAGTTTATTTGTATATTATGACAATAAAGTAGTTTCATTAAATTTTGAATATAACTCTAAAAAGTTACGACATGCACTCTGATCTACCCATGGCAAGAGAATTAAACCAAATTTGATTTTCATTAAAATATCAGCTCTTTAAAACAATTTTGAAAGAAGTGGGTCTTGTTATCTGTCCCACAGTTATGTAAGCTGTGTTGTAAATATAAATCTTTAAAAAGATATATACTATAAGTGATACATTGTTTTTACAAGTATGTTCAAAGTAATTAAGAAATTCCTGTGTACCTTAAAACTAATATTTTTCTTTCATACCTATAAAATATCAAGAAGACCTAATCTAATTCCTTTAGGGTACTGATAAATTCTTAAAATAGTAAAAAATGATAAAGAGTAAAATTGTTTCTATCTTTTCTTATTCATTTTGGTATGATTATTTTTAATTAACTTATCAAGTATGAAACAAAAATTAAGCAAAAAAAACTTTATGTAAGTTTCTACAGTTTTGAATTGGTTCAGTCCAAATTCAAAACTAATTAAAAAAGGAAAATGAGAAACTACAGTTACAAACACATAAGCTTATATAACTAAGTTCTTGTAATTTATTATACCTAAAACATGACTTCTCATATTTATTTGTTGGTGAGAAAATAAGTATAAATCAAAACAAAAGGGAATCCTCAATATCCACAGCACTTGAAATTCTTTTAGGCAGGTTTAGAGTAAATTAATCTACATGACCTTTATTTCCTGTTTATTAGCTATATTTTTGTATGCCAGCAATACTAAGCATGGAGCACACATGTACCCAATTCAATTTTATTACTCATCAGGATCTCTACCAGCCTACCCTCAAATTGAAATTCTTTGAGACAGGATTAGAGTAAATTAATCTATGAGACCTTGGGCATGGTTAAATACATCAGTCGAAAGGGTTTGTCCTCCTGAGTCCCAAACTGTAATTTGATCTCAACTCGGTCAAGAAATGACAGAGCTACTTGCTAAAAGTTTGTACTTGAAAAAAGACATCTCAGAGCCGTACTATAAGCTGCTTTGCCAAGGCTAAAAAAATAAAAATGGAAATAACTTTTCCTATTAGTGAGTTGAATTGCTGCAAATATAAATGTTTTCTATGTTTTTTCATTTTGTTAATTTGCCTGTAGAAAAGAAATTAATAATAAGTTTGTAATGACTTCTTGACAGTGAAAGAACTAATGGTGTAAAAGTTAGTCTCCTTCAACCTACTACTACTAAAAAGTATTATTCTTTTATTTAATAAACTTCAAATATCTAAAACTTCAAAGTTTTAACTAGTTAGATTACAGTATTCACAATCTTACAAATACATATGCCACACCTTTCAACAGTAGAGAACTTGTTGTAGGTCAGTTTAAGGTTTAAGGACAGTTTTGTTTCAGGACCTGTATATACGCAACAGCCTGAAATATAATAGTATGAATAATATAAATAATATGTTAATAACAGTCTATTAAAAATTATTTTCTTGGCATTATACAATCCAATAATCAAGTATTGCAACAGGTTCTAACTTTTTGATTCTAAACAAATTATGTCAAAGGTAATAAAAAACTGGATACATTTCAACGTACAGTATGAAAAGAAAAAAGTTTTTATTTTCGGTATATTTTGTAATTTCATCAAATTTTGTTTCAGTCACTTTTGCATACAATGTATGGTAAATAATTTAACAAGACAAATAATATTTTTTTGCACAGAAATTCTGGAAAACACAGGAAATACAAAAAATCATGATACAAGAAATGCAGATAAGTATTAACAAAAGAAATATCTATTTACCATAAATAAAGGCCGTATTCTTAAGTCTGGCTCCTTTCAGCAACAAGTTCAGTAGTCCCAAAGGCCTGAAAATCATACATGTGGAATGAAAAAAAATTCATTATTTCGTACAAACTCTTCAAAATCTTACTTTCAACCAAAACCACCTATCTACCCCCTACTGAAATGACTAATGTAAAGCATTTTTAATTTAAATAAACTCTGAATCACTAAATTAGATTAACAAATCCCTAAAACATGGTATAAAATTTATTAGAATCCTAACATTATGTGAAAAAAATAGATGGACAAGTAGTCCTGGCTGACGGGCATAGTATTAATGATTTGTTTTTTACTTCTTCATAAATTTTTCATCATAAATTAAATTAGGTGATTATAAAACACATCAACACTGGAGATTAGCTGAAGATAGACTCAAAATATTTTCTCCACTATTTAATCTAGCAATATTAAAATACCCAAAATAATCTATGCTTTAAAACAATTATCCTCTGGTGTCTAAAATACACTCTTACATCAGTGAAAACCACATTAAAAGTTAAAAGTAGAAGTTCACTAAAAATTATAGACATTTACAGCATATATTTTACAATCATATGAAATGAAACATACTTGAAAGGTTATCAACATTCTGAACAACAATTTACCAAATACTACTTTGAGTTCTTTGATAATATGTCATCTTTCCCATAAACTTGTAAAGATTCGCTGTTGGTTCTTCACATTCAATAGTAGCATGTAAGTTGTTGAAAGATTCTGCTGTCTGGTATTCTTGAGTTTGTGGAAGGCAGTTATGAATCTGAAAAACAAATAAACAATTAGTTTCACACAGAAAGACTTACTGAACAAAAAATATAATTCTTCCCCATTAAATATTAATAGGATACTCCCAACACACACAAAGAATTGTTAAATAATCTTTATAGAAAAAAATGCATAATACTTAACAATTATTAGACTGCCACAGTATTATTTAAGTGCTATCTATTGTAAGAAAATATTTAATTGTTAATAACTTTCCTTTATAAAACCTGGTTCATTAAAAAAGAACATCATGTGGCCATTAACTTGACTTACATATCTCTATACAGTATAAAATCATGTTACACCTTTAAATGATGAGGTACTTAAAAGTCATTACCATGATTCGTATCATGGACATAGCCTTTGTATGATAAAGCAGCAACAAATGAAGATAATTCAATATCATATATTCTGATGTTATTATAATGCTGTTAGAGCTACAATGAAAGTTAACATATTCATATCATGGACATAGCCTTTGTATGATAAAGCAGCAACAAATGAAGATAATTCAATATCATATATTCTGATGTTATTATAATGCTGTTAGAGCTACAATGAAAGTTAACATATTCGTATCATGGACATAGCCTTTGTATGATAAAGCGGCAACAAATGAAGATAATTCAATATCATATACTCTGATGTTATTATAATGCTGTTAGAGCTACAATGAAAGTTAACATTTTCCTTACCTGAAGATGTATTTCTAATAGATACTCACCTCAACATGAAGAAGAGCTTGATCCCTCACATGACTGTCCATGAGATTTACATGCCATTAGCCTTGAGCTAACTCCCACCTAAAAATTGTGTTTGATGGGTGTTTAGAAAGAAGTATCTACTGTAAATATATTTTCAGGTAAGGAAAATGTTAATTTCTGAGATAATACCTCACCTCCCCACATTGAAATGGTGAAAGGTTCAGTGCAAACATGAACTCTTCTGCAAGATAAAAATGTGCATGTGATGATGTTTTAGAGATGTATATTCAAAATTTAATTAAACTACTTTATTACCATTGTATATGAAGAAACTTGGCATCAAAACATAGTTAATAAATCAAATTTTAACATTATATAAGCTAAGTTCTTAATTATATCAAGAAATACCTTAAATAATCCTCAAATGGATACTGAAAAAGAAGAAGTATTTACCCTTCACAAATACGGTGCACAGATTGAAGAACAGTAACTGCAGAGAATCAAAATCCCACAGAAGACAAAACAGCCAAATGATAATGGTAATGTGAGATGAACTTGTGGGAAATCATCCAAATGCCAGCCTGAATGATCATGTGTCCAATGGTTGGCAAAAATGAGATGCAAGAGAATGAGACATGTGACATATTTGGTGTGACAAAATGTGGAAAAGCATGTAAGCATCAACATCCAAGAAAGAATACACCAACTAGAGCATTGGCAGATCCATCCAGTAAGGGTAGTAGGCATGAGGTCTCTGAATGAAGATGGGTTCCAAGGTAGAAACAAACAATGGTGGGAGCCCCAAAAATGAGAAGTACATGCCAAATAATACTGAACAGATGATGATGATCTGGGTCTGAACGAGCATAGTGTGAGAAATATAAGGAAGGGAGGTTGGATAAAAGGAACAATCACCTTCTCAAGCAGCTGAAGTCTTGGGAAAAAAATCCCAGTCTAGATAGAGAAGTATATAAGTATGGTGAAAAAAGAATGCAGGAAGCATCAATTGAATATTCATCTGAATGACAGCAATTAGAGACAAGGAAGAGGAAATAAATCTTAAGAGAAAAGAGGTACAAAGAGCAAGAAACCAAAAGCTTGAAGAGGGTACTGGCAAGAGTGTGTAAAACTACATTTAGGTTCCAATCAGGCATGGGAGTCAAACAAGGGGGTTAGTGAAAAAGAAAGAATCTGAAAAAAGTGGAGAGGCTGGAAAAAAAAAACATCTAGCAATAACGGGAAAGGAAAAATCACAAAGTCACCAGATAACCAGCTATGGTAGAGAATGACAATCCATGATCAAACAACTAAGTGAAAGAGGCCAATTAGTGGGCCACAAAAGGATAGCCTGGAGGAAGGGAGTGGTAGATAGACCAACACTGATAAACTTGCCACTTCCTTTAAAAGAAGGATGACAGGAAAGGGAAGGAAGAAGGCTACACAATCAGAGAGTGGTGGACCAGATAAATTCCACACATGATGCTGAAGTGACAACTCTACTGGGTGAAAAATATGAGACATGTGAGATTGTAGTAAGATAAAGGGAGAATTGGGCAGAGAAAGAGGAAGCCTTTATGTCAACTAACAAAGGATAGGAAACCAGGGTCGTGCAGGCCAAAGAGGTGTCGCCAACAGGACCTGACAAGAAGTGGCTCCTATCAAGGCGAGGACACAAGGGAGGAGACAAAGAGGAGAATAGGCATACAAAAAAAAAGGTGAGAGCAGCCCTGTCTGAGAGCATTGACTGCCAGAGCTGAAGGATGAGGAACTAGGAACCAAAAGAGTGGAACGTTAGTACTGAAAGAAGTGGCAAAGGCATCAGTGAGGAGTGTGCCCACCTGAGAATAAACCCCCCCCCCCAAAAAAAAAAAAACCTCAGTGGCACGTGACAAGCTATGAGATGTACTTGATGGGAGTGAGCCCAAAACTGCAGGTCCAATGTATGGAAGCAAAGAGTCCTGGAACAGGTACCCCACTGATGGTTGATTTAAGAAATGTCAGAAGAATTGTTGGAATGATTATGACCAACTGATTCACATGAAGAAGTAGAAAACAGAAACATGCCCTAAAACTGTAAGAAGTTTGAGAATATTGATGTGTAGTGAACAGCTCCTCTGCAGCCAACATGCCCAAAGTCACGTTATTTGGCTGAGATGTGCCCTAGCCAGGCAGAGAAGCATCTGTGAAAAGATGGAGATCTGGTTGGAGATGTGGATAGCAAGGGAATGCCCACCATGGTATTGGCACAATCAAACCACCAGGACAAATCCTCAAGAAGGAGATGTACAATTGTTAAGGACAATGGATCCCCAAGAAAAGTTCCACTAATCCCACCAACGTCCAATCGAGGAGGCACATGTGTGTGTAGCCCAAAGGAATGAGTGGTTCAAGGGAAGCCAAAATCCTGAAAAATGGAAAAATCTGATGCACAGGGTGTAAATGATAAGTGCATATATTAGTGACTAGATATTCCATCACTTGCAGGCAAAGTGGTGAAGGCTTAGCCCGACTGAGATGAGAGTTGAATATGTACTAAATATTTGGTATGCATGAGAAAATGATTTGGAAAGCTTGACCTGCCAGCCCAACCAAACAGCCTCCTGTAGAAGAAAGGAAGTGTTGAGAAGTTGTCCCTAGAAGGGGTGAGGAGCAGCCATTTGTCCATGTAATAATGGAACCTCAGTCCCAGCTCATTAATATGAAAGTGAACACTTTCAAAACTCAATTAAAGATATAAGGAGTAGATGCAATGACAAAAGGATAGAACTGGAAAATTCAATTCTGGTGGGTAAAACGAAAAAACTTTCTGGAAAACAGAACAATCAGAACATCTAAAAAAGCATCCAACACAACCTTGGTCATCCACAGACTGGGAGAAAATGGCCACTGTCAGGAAAATAAAATCTCCATCCAGAACTGTGGAACAACTAGAAAACTGTTAAGAAACAATAGGTCAATAACCAGATGCCAGTTCCCAGTCTTCTTGGGGACCACAAAGAGGCAAGTGTAATATCCCAGAGTAGAAGTAAATACCCTCTCAAAAGCATTCTTAGTCAAGAGATCTGAGATTGCATCCTAAAGACACTGAAGATAAATGGGATCAGAGAGAAAGAAACAGGAGTAAGGGAGAAGGGAGGAAGAGAAGTGGAGAAAAAAGCTGTGGGCCAGTACCTGAAGAACCCATCAGTCAGTTGAAAACAGAGACCAAATTATGGAAAAACAAGACAGATGAGCACTCACCGGGCCAGATCCAACAGGATAGTCATAAATGAGATGAACAAAAACCCTGATGACAGGAAGTGGTAAAAGAAGGAGGTAGAAGTGATAGATGACAGGAAAAAGAAGATTGGGAAGATGAGGATTGAGTAGGTCTAGGGACTGGAATAGAAGGGTGAGGTTAGGAAAGGTGAAAAACCGAGGAAGACAATGAGGATTGACAACAGAACACTTCAGCCCAGGTCTCCATAATATCATAAACACCCCCAAAGAACTCCAGGCAAAGAAAATGAGCCCAATGAATGAAAGCCATAAAGATACGAGTGAGACAGGCAAACATTAGTTAGGAAAGTATCCTGACCAAGCAAGTCCCAACAGCAGGGGAACCAACTAAGGAAAGATAGAGCAAAAGAAGTAGTATGAGTCAAAGTGGTAAAAACCCTTCTGCAGCACAAGGAAGTGCCTTTTCAGAAATAAGGTGAAGGAAAGAAAGGAATGTAGGAGGGTGGTAAAAAATGGGATGAGATGAAAATACTGGGCATTAGAAAGTGAAACTGAAGCTAAGAAGTCTACCCCCAAGCAGGTAAAAAAGATTCTAAAGATAGGAAATCAAGGAAAGGAAAAAAAGAATGACCATAACCCAGGACATAGAAGGATGAAGCATATGAGTCAGCATGTACCATAATATCAGGTGAAAGTAGGAAGACAAAATAATTGTGAAAAATGGTTTGAAGGAGTAAAGAATGAGAAAAATCACAAGACGCAGGAGAAAGTAAAGAATATAGCTGAGAAAAATCATATCAAGGAAGAGATTGGAAGGTTGAGAAGTTTCATCTACAGATAAAGCAGTACCAACTTAAAACTCAGGTTGAGAAAATGGCTGGTAACATAATCATCATATTGTTCATGTTTGAACTGAGGAGAAGGAACATCAGCTGAATGGATGGGAGTAGGAAGCCCAATATGCAAATACTGTCATGTCCTCCACAGTAAACGAGCTTCCAGAAGCTACTGTAGACACAGGGCTCATGTTAGTAGTTTTGTCACCATCAAAGAACAAAGCAGAAATAACCATCACTTGAGGATTCATAATGGGTAAGCAAAAGAAGAAAAAGTTTTCTTTTCCACTTCGAAGAAAAAAAATTAGTTAACTGAAACAAAAATAGAGTCCCATTTACAGTCAAACCTCACATAATTGAAGAACATTGAAAATTAAAAAACATCCATTCAAGACATTGGGAATCAAGGAAATGAAGAATGGTCATAAGCCAGGACAAAGAAGGATGAGGCATGTAAGTATGAATATACAATTGTTCAAGAAATGAGTCACCATGTACCCTAATATCAATACCCTGAAGCAGTAAATAAACTAATGGCTAAATCTATAATAGTTAAAATAGAAGCATTACATAAATGTTATCACAGATCAGACTAACTTAGAATAGCTACAGATTCATATAGTATTAATTAGAAGACTAAGGCAATGATAAATAAAAAACACATCCATCCAAGACATTGTTAAGGAAGAGAAGTGTATCAATTGTTGCATGAAGATGTCTTTAAGTACTAGAGCAGTTCAAATTAAACACATGATTTTTGGGTGAAAGTGACCTCAAGGCAAGTGGCATGCAAATCTCATAAGCAGATACCTGAGAAATCAAGCTATTCTTTTTGTGGAAGTGAGGTATCATCTCACAAATATTGATATGGTTAACAATCAAGATTCAATTCATGTGACTAACATAAAGCTTAATGGCACATAACAATTCATCAAGCTTATATGAGCAAACCATGAAGTAAATGCTGAACAAATTAATGAACATTTGGACTTACCTTGAGATTCGTTTCCCCATCAAGGTTAGCTGTTGTGATGTAACAGACTCCACCTCCATCACTGGAAGACAGCATCACAAGATCACATGGGAATTCCTCATCAGATTTTACCTTGACAATATCTCCTACCTGATTAAAGTAAACAGCACTCATGATAAAACACACACACTGCTATTTATAAATGCAACTGATAGAATTAGTCATAAAAGAAGATTGCCACTAATATTTCAAGTAAGTGACATGGTTTTGTTAAAATCTCATCCTGTATCTTCTACTGTAAATCACTTTTTGGCTAAACTTGTTCTTAGATGGACAGAACCATATAAAATTAAAAGTTTTATAACATCACTAGGATATGAGCTAAAAGACTGCACAAGTGGTTCTATATAGGGTAAATATCAGGTATTAAATTTGGAGAAATGTTTTTCCTCTGGAGCTGCACCATGACATTATCCATGCTGGTGGGGGAACTACCGATGCTACAACACTTGATTCCAAAATTCAACCAAACAAGAATCAAATACTACTATGACCAAAGTGTCACATAGGCTAGAGATGTCTTACTTGTCTCCTGTTAAGAAGAGAAGAGTGTAACTAACTTTTTACTTCAATATTTGTTCTGGTAAACTGAATTAGAGCCAGAACAAAAAGAAAAATATGTAAATAATCTTTGTAAGCTGAACAGGGCCAGTAAATTGAACTTGATTATTATAAAGATATCATGATAACACCATATATTGTGTCTAGTATCAGTTTGGGCGATACAGTACGAAAACTGGATAAAGGGGGAGAAACATGAGGTGTTATTTTTTATTTTTTTGTTTATTATTATGTTCATATTTTAGGCATCTACTTTTTGTCATTTAGTTGAGTTGTACCTTGAGTTTGTTTATCCATGATTCCAACTCACATCACATTATCCTTAATTAATACTACTCATGAAGTTAGGTTTTTTTTCTTTCTGGTCCTTTTTCGTAACTTCTTGTGTCTAGATTATTTTGATGAGTTAAAAGTTTGAAGCTCAGTTGTGTTGCTTATAAAAGTCCAGACCTGATATTTCTAAATTGTGAATAAATTCTGTTTATCTTGTGAGGGATCTAATAAAACTCTGTTTTTTAAAAACTTGGTATTAACTTTTACCTTTTTAGAATTAAAATAAATTTCAAACATCGACTTACTTCTGAAATACTAAAAGCCTTTTCCTGATGAATTGCTTTGGTGCTGTCAACAACCATGTGACTTTCAAATTCTGAATGTTCTTGACGCAATATAACCCCTGTTTTCCTATCTTAAGCCAGATTTCTTTATTTGTAGTTGTGATGACATAATATATTCTTCCCATTTGTGAGAAATTGGGTGGTAGTATATTTCAGAGGTAAGTGACTGTGTGAAATAACTTAATTCTAAAAATGTAAAATTCAAATCAAGTAGACTTACCTCTGAAATAATAAAGGCCAGAACACCTACTTTTAAAAGGAGAAGGGAACTCAAGATCTGAGAATGTCACAAGGAACACTAGTTCTCCAAAAGTATGACTCTTAAGGAGGAAGGTAGAAACCTAAACAACAACAAAGTGACCAAATGGAGTTTGTGTAGATTTCAGAATCAGAAGAAAGATCAACTGCCTGGATTGACATGAGAATGTTTTCTTTACACATGCCACAAGCCTTCCGCTCCCCCTTATTAGAATTGCTATATTCCAACATGTCTCTTATGCAAATCATCATGCATCACCTCATAACCAATAGAAGCATGATATACTAACATGATGCATGTGATTCCCTCTATAGTCTTCTACCGAACTATCACTTTGAAGTTTGGCAGAAGATGTCAGCACTGGAGAAAAGTGGGGAGGAAGGGTGGAGGTTAATATAAGAAAATTTTAACTTCCGACACAGTACAACAGAAGTACCTCCCAGAAAGCGTTAAAAGGATACCCTTAAAAATTAGAGATAGAGATCCGAAGATCAGAAGAGGGGAACTGCACCACTTCTGAGCCAAGTATAATCTTTGCCTATGTGTGGAATGTATAAGATATAATGGTGAAAAATGAGCAGAGCACATACAAATGGGAGAGAATGTGGTAGGACAGCGATCCTAACCAGAGAAAGATATTGTAACTCAATCCCACAAGAGAAAATAGGGCAAATGAGGATGCACCCCTGGGTGTAGAGTAAGTCAATTACATCCAAAACTTCCTCGTGGGGTACTGACATTTATGCAAGGGTAGGATGAGGATCATAACATTTTTCACCTCAAACCCAATAACCAGGGATTAAGACCCAAACCGATTCCCAGGTATGACACGAGGATTAGTTCTGAGCTATCAATCTGGGAAATTGACATCTGGTATTGAAAGGATGTTTATCACATGGAATCAACTCCCCCAACCATGGTACAGGCCAGGACCATCCAATGGCAATAATATCCTCCTAAGAAAAGAATGTGGGATAGTCAAGGACAAAACTGTAACAATCCCACGTACCATCACTGTGACACACAACACAAATGGAGGAATTGGGGAGGAAGATAGACAACTGGAACCTGTGTGAGGACTTATGTTGATTGGTTCACTCTAATCCACAACCTCCTCGCAGGGTACCGACATTCATGTGAGGGTAGGATGAGGGCTCCCAATCAAAGGGGTGGACTGCATTCTGACATCTCACTCCATTGTATTACTTATTGTAAGTAGGAGGATATTACATCATCTAACACCCACAAAACACCACCGCCCTACTCTGTAACTGAATGGCAGGGTGTCTATATGGTCAACCACCCCAGTGGCTTGGAACTGGACAGTAGCAAGGACTCTCATACTCCACTCAAAGAAAGGAAAGTGACAATGCGGTGAAGAGTCCGGAGGAACATCATCACCGTAGACAGTGCAATGGGTGACCACGAAACCTTATTATGAAAAGCAGAACCTACCGAGTTATTCACTCTAGGCATGGCAGGGATGGGCAGCAACTCCCTTCTGCTTTACCCCTGCAGTCCATGGATGGTACGGTCAAGGACAGGCATGTTTATGAAGCAAAATATTGTGAGGTTATTCATCGTCATGCAATCTTATGGAACACCTCATCTCCACTGTGAGCATGTGAAGCTATGGAAGGTAAAGTGCAAGTCATCATGGCTGTACAGTGCAAATTTAACGTTAAAGAATACCAGGTCAAGCACCACACACCACAGAGCAGGATCCATGTGATAAAAAGTACATAAAGGCCCCTGAAAGAAAGAAAGTATGAAGAAAAATCTGCCAGTTTAAGTCACACTGAGGTCTGAAGAACAGCCACAGGAGGTAGATGAAACCTTGACGAAGAGAAAACCGTGATATCATGAAGAAAGTAGGAGATGAACGTACTGGAAGTGGTTTACATGCCGGATTGCAGAATCTTTTCCCCTGGATTATGAAGATGAGAAGCAAGAGAAAAACTGAGGTGTTGGATCTGATGGCAGGACACCTGGAACAAAGTCTGGAAGGAAGAAGGTAGGGAAGAATAGGCCAATTGAACCAAAAGGTGGACTCAATTGGTTAGGGTAGAAGGTGAAGGATCACGAAGAGAGGAGGATTGCCAGGGGATAAAGAGTCTGGAAATGTACCCCAGAAGATAGCAGTATGGGCTATATAACATTGAACAGCCCTGACTGGGAAGTAGAAGAAAGGGAAATAAAAGAAAAGGATGAACCACCTTCCTGAGCTGATGAGGTCTTCAGGAGAAAGGAATGATCTGGATAAAAGAGAAGATAGGTAGGGAGATAAAGGGTACATGAAACATCGATGGTAAACAAATCCGACCTTTGACATCCACAGGCTAAGAGAAGAAGGAAATGTGTTTTATATGAAAAATGAAACATGAAACACAAGGAAAGTGCTTCAAATGGAGGTAAAGTAAGATAATTTAGGATCACATTAATGTCCAAATCTAGAAGGGCAGGATGCCTGGGAAGGCGAAGTATCCAGAAGGAATGCATGAGCATAGTAAGAACAGGGGAAGTAAAAATCCTATGGTGTCAGGAAGAAAGAAGGGTATGGAACAAGACTGCCCAATATCTGGAAAGCAAGGAGACCAAAGACCCACAGTCGAAGATCCATGTGAGAGCTTCCACCACACAATCCAGGGTAGGCTTGTCAACTTGAAATCCCCTTGTAGTAGACCAACTGTGAAATACCTTCCACTTGCATTGGCACACCTCCATGGATGATGGACAGATGGAACTAGCTAACAAGGAAGCGACTCAATGCGTGAAATCAGATCATCTCGCAAAGTACCAGAGAAAAGCCAGGCATGAAGATGCATGACATGAAGGTTGGGCTGTAGGATATGTGATCGAGGGTGATGAATAAGGAGAAAGTGGAAGAGAGACAGGGGGAAGATAAGCAGTCTTTGTAACCTTAGAAACCAAACCTGATTTGGTTAACCCTGTCACCCCGGATACCCTTTACTGTGCATGACACATAGTTTTAGTGTCTTACATTCAAAATTAAACTACTTTTTGTTTATGTTATACCAATTAGAATAGCATAAAATCTT